CACTGTAATTTTCAGGGAGTTATAATAACTCCTCTAGTGGGGCTAATTTAACTCCTTACAGTGGAGTTATTTTTCGTGGAGTTACTTTAACTCCAAAAAGGAGTTTAAAGAACTCTTTTTCAGGAGTAAAAGTGACCCCAGATATTGAGGAGTTAAAATAACCCCAAAAACGGAGTTATCCTGTACCTAAAATTTTTACTCCACTTTCAGAGTTAAATTAACTCCAAAAAGAGTAAAAACAACCCATGTAAGGAGTACAAATAACCCCATTTCGGAGTAATTTTAACTCCAGAGTGGGAGTAAAAAGAACTCTTTTTCAGGAGTAAAAATGACTTAGGAGTTAAAATAACCCCAAAAAAGGGGTTATCCTGTACCTAAAATTTTTACTCCATTTTTGGAGTTATAATAACTCCCTAAAAATTACGGTGCGAATGATTTACAAGCTTTTCTCGTATTCTTCCAACATCCCAAGTGGGTTATCATGCCCGTAAACTCATAGAAATGTGGTCTATTGCTTTTATGAAATAACGTTATATGAAATAACTTAAGTTTTCTATGAGTTTACCGTTTACCGGTACAATAAACCATAGGTTTTTAACCATTCAGAAAGCGCGTTTTATAAAATTAGATATTCATTATGCGCCGCAAAATTGTAATTCACATTACTTTTTAAGTCAGTGCGTTGTAGCTTTTAAATATTTCTATCATGGGTTTTTTATTTAGTTTTTAACTCGGATAACTCGAATTCTCCACTAACTCGAACTTAATTTCCTTTCCCTTAATCAACTCGAAAACTCGAATTCTGGTTCTTGTAACTCCACTTGGATACCATCTCATTAGTTGCACCCACACTACATTACAATGGCGGATCCAGGGAAGGGGAACGGGGAGCCCGCCCCCTCTTTTTTAGACCAAACTGAGGCCCAAATGGCCAAAAAAAGTTTGGGGGGGAGACCCCCCCCCCCACCTCCCCCCCCCCCTTATCTCAAGGTCTGGATCCGGCACTGCATTAAACTAACACTGGTCAACACTACAGCAAATATATATGTGATTTTAATTGGTGCAACGGAGAGATCACGTTTTATCCTAAAAAAGCCTAATCATGTTACCGTTTCTGATGTAAATTTGCACTACACTATACATTGAAGTACTGAAAAATCAGTCAAACTATCAATTTTTAATGGGGCAAATTAAATTTTGCAATCGACCCCGATAACTCGAACCCTCGCTTACTAGAGTTGTTTTTCGTTTCTCTTTCATGCAGGGTTGATCTAGTTTAACCGGGGTTTTATTGTAGTACCAATCGTAAGTTCTTGTTTCAAAAGGCTAACCTGCCTTAGTGCGTACTTGAACTAAACGCAAAAATACGGACCGTTTTGCAGTCTAAACTTGCCTACATTTATTCATAATGGTAGAAGTTCCTATTAATCCACGAGTTAAAAATGGTACCAATTTTTCTTGACGTAAGCACGAAACGTTAGTATTTCGTAAACTACTATCTTGCAAACGGACTTGCAACGACAATACCATTCTTGCATGGAATTTATATTTTCAGTCACTACTCATGACTGTTCAGGGCTAATTTAACTTAGGCGATCATACAACTTCAAATGAGAGTATATATAATTTACAAACCCTTCCATGCACGCAACGCGTAAATAAAACCGACTGGTGCTTTCTCATATTTCTTGCCGGATCTCTAATGCAGAGATGCTAATGCCAGACGTCACTTGAAGTAGGAATTAAAACAAAACTGAATGCAAGGCTGGAAATACGGCGAAGGGCTGATTTATTTGAGGCCTAACAAAATTGGTCTTCCTCAGGGGCCAAAGCTCACTGAAAAAGATTACTATAAAAAAAATAATAAACCAGCCCTTTGTTGTACTGCCAGCCTTACATTCAGTTTTGTTTTATATTTAATTTATCTCTATCCCATTCCACGGGATAGGAGAGGCTGTAGACGCTATGCACCCAAGCAGGAAAAAAGTGTAATTATAATCTATACTTCCCAAAATATTAACCTCTGCATCGCGTAGTCGGCAGCCCAATGAACCTCTATTATGGGGGTCTTGTTAAATAAAAATGCCGCGCCAGTCCGTTGCACTTTTTAAGTAATGTAACAGAAAGAAAAAATAGTTAACAATTATGAATGAGGCTGAGTATCATCTGCAGATTTAGGCATAACGCAGCTCTTAAAATCTTGTTCTTTGAGATCCTGAAGGACCTCGGACTTATTTCAGAAGTGCCTCCATGGTATTCAAAGACCCAACCCAACCGTCGTATGAGAATGGGAGTGCGCAAGCATTATGGGATGTACCGGTTTACGGCGGATAGCATTGAGGTGAGGGACAACAGAATCGACGCCAGAATAGTCGATAAAGAGCAGAAACGACTGTAATCCATTGAAATGAGCTGTCCTTGCTTGGATAACCGCGAAGTGAAACAGATGGAGAAGACACAGAAATATGGTCCACTAATGTGGGAATTGGGAGAAAGAAATCCTGGCCACCAAGTGAAACAGTCTAACATCATTATTGATGTTCTTGGAGGATATTCAGCTGATGTGAGTCAAGCAGTAAAGGAACTTGTTGGAGAGAAGAGTGCCACCATCTTACAAAGAATGCAGAGATTTGTCATATCGCAGGGGCGGATCCAGGATTTTTTTTAGGAGGGGGTGCACTCGTCTCTTGCTCTACTTCAACACCAATAAACCACATAGTTTTTTTTCGCAGAATACCAGTTGTATTAGAAAACCGCAGGTCATCTCGGAAGGGGGGGGGGGTGCGCACCCCCTGAACCCTCCCCCTAGATCCGTCCCTGTATCGAGTACACTAAACATTGCACGCAGTTTCAAAATTCTTGCTTAAACATAGAGGATTGTTGCTAAAGTGTTCTTTTTTTACGAAAAAAATTTATTATTGTATATTAAAATTTTTATTGAAACTTTTAGTTTGATTTTGCCATAGATCTAAAGCTAAGTAGAATGGTGGACAAAATTTTCGGAAAAACGGAAACATCTTTTATTTATTTTAACGCTTTAATATTTTACAAGACTATGATATTTTACAAGACTGTGATATTCTTAATATATTTCAATACTTTTTACATAAGAAAGACTTCACGGCGCAGGGGTTGGTTACGGTCAGACGCCCAACTTTTTTTTACTAATACTGGGCATCCAGACGTGTGAAACTGCCATAATAATAATAGGTCTTTATTTCATAGATATAATACATATTCTATGTTACAATAAGTATTAGACCGCAGTGAAAAAGGGGAGGGATTAGCAGGAGGAGCGCCGGCTCATGTTTCGAACAGCGACTGGTAATCGAGTCTAAAACTAAGCCTTGTTTTCATACGTCAGGAAAATCCCAGACGATCAGGGATTTTACTTTTTGCCGACCGTCCCATATTTTGCCGATAGTATCGCATAATCGCCAGAAGTCTGTCCCAGATTCTCCCTGTATTGAATTTGGCGGCAAAAATGGAAAGTGCGCCAAAAATTGAAATTTGTTCACAAATGCATGATAGGGCGACTGGAGCCCAACAATTTAGAGGGTTGGTAAGGAGCAAAATCCATCGCAGACGTCCGCGACTGTACAAATTTGAGTTTTCATTTGTCGGGAATGATCGCCGACCATCGCAGAAATCTGGGACGCGTCGGGAAAACAGAAACGCTCCCGATTCTTCAGATTTGTCCCCGTCCATCCCAGATGATCGGGGATATCTACGATTTCGAGTTTTCATTAGTCTGCAAAATCTAGGACAGTTGGGTAAACAGTAAAATCCCCGATCGTCTGGGATTTTCCCGACATAGGAAAACCAGGCTTAATCGGTGTTTGTTCTAAAGAGAAACGTGAGCTTGCGTGTCTGCTTGAAAAATTTTTACACGGGAAATAAAACTGCCCCGTGAGGTGTATTAGTTTGAACACAGCATTGTCTTTTCTTTAGCATGATATTAAAACACGTTTTGAACAATTTTCATCACCTAACAATGGAAACGCAAAAAGTTTCCTGTTGGCCAGAACCTGTTTAGAACCTCTAACTTGATAGGTTCTTGTTGACTCGAAGCTCCATTGTTTCAGATTCGGGGTTCATTGTTAGTTTTGTTTGAGTTAGGGCTATCTATTGTTTTCTAAACCAATCCTGTGAGCCGTTCTTAGAGCTTCCGGCCCAAGTTTGAGGCAATCATGCAAAACCTAGAACGCGCTCCCACATGGATGGAAATTGTAGATTTTACACATAAATATATATTTCAGGAGGGCTAGCATCTGACACACGATATCCGGGGGATACGGGAATGAAGGGAAGAAAACGGAATCCGACGGAAAAATGACTTTAAAAGGCATTTCAGTTTTGCTAACAAAGAAAACCATTCTAGCAGGAAGCCGCGGACCAAACCGATCAAAATGATCTCGGTCTGTATTAGTTTGAATTACTTTACCTGTAGTCCTGAAAATAGAATAAATAAAAGTAGAATCAACGGGATATTTGCTTGCTTAGGAGTGAGCCTCACACCCTCTGTGATTTACACCAAAGTAAAAGCAAAATACACAACTGACAACAAAACTCTCACACACGCTCAGTGGATCAAATCAAAGTTTAGTAACTTCATTTTTGATTAACTGTTCACTCTCAGGTCCAACCGAATGGAAAGTTTCAAATGTAGCCTGCGGGGCTAGCGATTCCGCGCGAGTTTGTTGAAAGAGATAGAACGCGAGAGAAGGAAAGAAGGAGGGGAAAGGGGAGCTCTTGTTTTCGTCCTCCTTCTTCCTTTTTTTTATTGTCGTTCCAACTTTCAGCGACGAACTCGGGCGGAAACGCTTGCTAGGCAGAATATTTCAAATGCGTTTTTAAGTGAACCTGTCAGCTTTAATACCACGAAAGGAAGTAGTTGAGCAATTTACATGCGTTGTTGACCAAGCGTGAGCGTCAAGATGGCTGTATATTGGCCAAGTTCTTTTTTGCGTTTTTATGGACCGAGACGAACTCGAGGTCAATAAAAACGCAATAAAGAACGAGGCCAATATCCAGCCATCTTAATTCAAGGAGTTTGGACATTAAAAGTGCCCCAAAAGAAAACTTTTCCTTGCGGAACCAACACGGGAATTTATTACGTGCCCCAAAAGAGACCTTTTTCTCTCGGAAACAACACGGGGAAGGCCCAAGCGGGCACGATTGGTCCATCATACCCGCTCGGGTAGCCAATCGGAGCACAAGATTCGCTTCATCTTGCCCGCTCGCGCATATTTAGCCAACAACCCACAAAAAAGCCCTTTTTACCATGGTCTAGTGCGACTTCAACCATTATGGGATAGTCACAACACACACCCAAAATTTGTAATTAGACTGCAAAACGAAGAAGCCAAGACTACCATTTGCCAACATGTCTGCACCTTCCTCTCGACGCAGCTCTTCCTCTAGCTCTTGTCAAACAATCTGTAAGTATCTTTTGATGCCAGTTAAGGAAACTCTCAAGGGAAATCAGGGTAACGATTAATGGTAGTAAATGACCAATATTACAGGAAATAGTTTCTTGCTTCAAACAAAGCCATCATAATATTTCTCGTTACCTTACATGTCTAAACAAACCACTCGACAGATCTTCACACTGAGGTTAGGAAATGTTTGAGAAAAAGACAAAATATTCACTATTTTCAGTACAAGCAAGATTTAGAGAAAAAGGTTCTCTACGTCTTCGCATTCCTACGGTTTAACGATTTTGCGTACGAGATTAAATAGGAAGATGATGTATTTCTTTCGGATGGGCGATTACACGCGTTAACAAACCACGCATATTCTTCTGAAACAATACGGAATGGTTTTTAATTAGTGTTCGGAAAGAAAAAGATTCATTTTCTCAACATCTTCTTTTAGTACGCCTGTCTCATCGTAGCCGGTGAACAAGCTCTGTTTGTCATCGAGCCATCTGCCTCCGCAATATTAAACGAGGCCCCGATTAGTTTTTTTCCGGGACAACTCGTTTATAAATTCCAATTCGTTTTCTTTTTGTGATTTGTTTTGCTTGGTCAAATATTTATTTATTCTATGAAGAACACTCGCTCAGGATATATTTCTGCTCCTACAGTGCATTTTTTACATTTTGTTGACACGCACGCTTGCCCTAACATTAAGTGTGCTTCAGGCAAAACTGAAATTATCTCCTTTCTAAAATGGCTCCTTACGCCTCAAATCAACGCTACTACAATTTACAATGTATTGACCGGACAAAGAACCCGTTTACAAAACTAGAACTGCTTCCTTATGGCACTACTTTTGGAGAATTTCTGCAAGCAACGATTTACGGTATTTTCATTTAATCTTCAATTGGTTTTCATCTTTCTAGAAAACACGCCATTTGTCGTTGTTCCTTAACGTTTTTAAACAAATTCAGTGTAAATCCCCGAGCACCCTTCACGATGAAAAGAGGGGCATTTAATACACTCTGATTGAAATAAATTCCCGGCTCAATGTCAGTCATTCGATGTCTTATATACAGAACAGTCAGAGTTAAGAATTTATAGAATCAAGCACAAACAAATGATGTTGCGCTAAAGCAATACGTGTCATCAAGAGCCCTTGTTTCAAAAGCTAATGGTACGTGTAGTACTGAAACTATAACAATGGCTAATAATATATCTTCGTCTTATTTTTTTACTAATGACGATTAACTTACGTGGCACAAGTTTCCTGTACTCTGATATTTCTTACAGTTCAGACCTAATCAAATGCTCAGCCATTTTTTCCACATTATTCCAGGGTGTAGGGCGTCTATCTTACTACAACATGTTTCTTGATCAACCTTGCCACGTTTAATAGGCTCCTCTTAGATTACATTTTCCAATCGAAATTCAAGAGAATGTGTAAAAGTGATATGGAATATACCCGATATATTAAGTATGTTAAGTTCCTCTCGTCTGATTTTCCCTGCACTTAAGTTACATGCTATAGCAAATTTTACTTGGCACGTATTTGATAATGAGCTCGAATGTTCAAGTGATACACTTTGTCAAATGACAAGACTGGACTTGTCTTAATTTTTATTTTGCATTTGGAATGTTCTTTTAGTGTCCACAAAATAATTAGCTGTTATCTAGCTAAACATCCTGACACTTAAATAAAGTTCATTCATTCATTCCCTGATTCCAACTCGTAAGAATATTTCAGGTGAGCAAAAAACCTAAAAACAAATCAAATTTAAAAACGTACTTACAAATCGTTTCAAACATGCAGCCTTGATCAGCCCTTACCTGCCTTGCAGAACAAAGAAAGCAATAACAGTATTAACAATATTACTAGGACGAGCATAATATAAATAATGATATGTTGCAAAAATACCAAAGTTAATGATTTTTAATAATAATTTACCACTTCTTGTTGGTGCATTGGGACTGGCTTAAATAGGGAATGGACCTGAGTTTAGGAATTAAGATCCCTAGAGCCATTAACATCAATGAGCTGCAAAAGATCACCCTCCTAAGAGCACTGCACATGCCTAGAAGGTTTCTGTCCATCCATAAAATACCCCTCTAGCACATTAGGACCAAGGAATGGGCACGGTTCTAAGAGAGTACAAGAAGCAATTTATAGCACTTGGAACAACAGCAACAACAACAATGATGATGATGATGATAATAATAATAATAATAATAATAATAATAATAATAATAATAATAATAATAATAATAATAATAATAATAATAAAAACAATGGAAGTGTATATAAATTAAGGAGGACAGTTTTACATCCCTTAAATTTTAAAACTGTAATAACAACAATGATACAAGTTTGTGTCTTTTAACCCCAAAAAATGCGGCTTAACTTTGCAAAATAGTCTTGCTTCTACTTAATGGTCCTTTAGGAGGCGTGGTGGCCAAACAGCAAACACCTTAAACTTGAGATCTGGAGGTTGGTTCAAGCCTTGTTGTCACTTTATATTGGACAAGAAACCTTGTTCCACTTTGTCTCTCTTTCACCCAGGTGTATAAATGGGTACCAGCAATGTACTGCTTGGGGCGGGGGTATGTTCAAAGTTACATACACTGTACGTTTTGGTTTGCTTAATATTAAGGTTTGAGTATTGTGGCCAAGTAAACCATACGTTTTTCTAGTTGGCACCCACATTGCCAAAAAAGTTTGTTTAAATACAGGTGAGGAACCAGGAATAATGAAAAAAAGAACCAACATAACTATCATAAAATGTAACTAAGCCATCAAATTGACTTTCGTACGGAAAAGCGTAATTGGATGCCACAACATTATGCTTGTACTTTGTCATTTAACAATAAAATATATATCATATTATAACAATAATAATAATTTTACGACAAACAGGCATAATGTTGTGACAAAAAGTGAAAACAGAATCACAAACAGACATGTACAGTGAATAGATTTTTTGATAAAAAAACTGCTTCGTGGCAAAGTAG